GGGGAGCTGACCCTCATCCTGGGAGCCCCGTCCTCGGCCAGCCGACCGCCCGGGGTCACTCTCCACGCATCCTTCTGGAAGCTTGTTCCTGGGCCTCGGAAGCCAGCCGCACGGGGAGGCAACCTGTGAGGGCCCCCTCCCCCGCGCTCTAGTGTTTTGTTCCGTTGCTGGGCGGAATCCTGCAGGCAGGCAGCTGCCATCTAAATGTGTGGTCAGCGTGGTGCCTGCAGTAGGAAGCGGGGATCAGCAGCTGGGCCCGGCCGGCCTTTGTCAGCAGGTTGGCTCGTTAACGTTGACAGAGAGAAGTCGTTTGGGGCTCTTCAAAAAAGAAAAGAAAGAAAGAAAGAAACAACTATGGTTAGACTTTTCCGAGCTGCCTCCTATGGATGAGATAAGGTCAGGGATTGAAAAGGGAAACTAAGACCCTCTCATGACAGAGTCTTCGGGGCCCAGGTCCGGACAGAGCGGGCATTGTGTGGGCGAACTCGGGGAGGAAATCAGAAACAACCCCGGGAGAGGCAGGCGCTTTTCCTTGGCCCGGCTCGGTATTATTTCTGCTGGGTAAATCGTGCGATCGGAGTCAAGTTCTTCCACATTGCTCGTTCCTCTTTCTCTGGGGCCCCGTGAAAAGGGTTGATTTTAAGATCCTTGCGTGCCTCTCTGGGTTCCACAGCCCCCTGGGCATGTTAGGGCGGCCCCTGCGATCTCTCCCCTCTCTCCTGCCCGGAGGACACTGTCTACAAACCTGGTGGAGCTCCTGGTTTTCATTTAGAGTTATTAGCACCGAGCAGACGTGTCTTCCTGGCTTTCTGGCCTAATGGCCTGCAGATGTCTGCGGGAGAATGTCAGCCTGCATCGCAGACCCCCCCTCCGCTCTCCCCCCGCGCCCCAGCCGAGCAGACCTCAGACAGGCAAAGGGAGGGCAGGCTGCCGCCGGCGTTGGTGGACCTCAGAGCAAGGTGGTCGGCTTCAAGATCTGGCGTCCGTCCACATCTGTTTACACAGGGCCATGTGGGATGCGGACCGTGCCTGGGAGCGAGGCACATGTCTTCAGTGCTTCCGACAGGGTTCTGACTTGTACGTTGATGCTCGCTCATCTCCTGCTGGAGGGCCTCACTGGAGATGGCGAGTGGAGGGCTGTTTGGAGCAGGGAATGGCCTTGGCCTAGTGTCCATCCGTAGATCCGATGGAAACTCCCCTCCCCTGGCCTCTTGACTTCTCTGGAGGTTGGCCCAGTCAGGAAAAGGGTAAGGGGAGAAAGCCCACAGTGAGCCCCTGGGCGTCTGTGTGCCTGGTTCTGATGAGGATTTTGCTGCGTGGCATGAAAACCAAGTATTTCTCTTGTCTCCTACCATGAGGGTGTCATGGACTGAGCCTCCACAAGGAGACTGTATAGACCAAGAGAAGGCGGGACGGGTCAGATGCCAGAAGATAGGACTCTTCGGATTCAGGAAGCTCCCTATCTTTGTGAGGGGCTGAGCCCCACAAAGGTTGATGTATGACGACGGTTGCCTATAAGCAGAACATCTTGATCCACCGTGTGAACAGACGGTGATGAATGACGAATCAAGAGCACAGATGCCTGAGTGCCTGGCGTTGGTCAGGCCGTGAACTCTGAGTGGTTGGTTGAGAGCTGCCCTTCAGGGAGGAGGCTCCCGCGAATTTTGGGAGTTTCCTACAGTGCATGGGAGGTCCAGGGCCTTGGAGTTCTAGATTTCCGAGGTAAAGCTGCTTCACCCTGTCAGGGAAGCTCAGGAGCCTGCAGATCTGGTTGGCTGCATGGAGAGGCCGTCGCCCGTGGCCGGCTGGCCCTGCCAGACAT